AGTAATTAAACCACGGAACCAGGTGTGTTGGAGCAGAGAAACAGCTAAAACGTGCAGGATGGTGTGCCTCAAGGACCAGGGTTGGGAACCACTGGTTTAAAAAGACTGTTTAAAATTATTTAAATTCCCCTTTCTCTCCACTTTTTTGATTCCTGCTGCAAACCAAGTGGCTTTCTATAAAATTTCCTTTCAGTTTCGGCATGAAATTACAAATTTTATCACCAAAATAAGAGCCCGTCAATGACAATCAGGAGGAAACTTCATTTCCAACAACATCGTGATTATCTTCTGTCTGCATCAAGCTGAAGGGCGATTCAAAAACACTTTGGGAACTTCGCCCGCTGATGAGGTTTCTCTTGTTGCAGAGAGCTGGGGGAGGTGGAGGACTCGGGGGTGAAAGTGGGGGAGTGAAACAAAGGACGGCTGAAGTGAACTCTGTGCTCATTAGGCCGTGAAACATGTTGCTCTCTGCATCGACTCGAGGATTCTTTGTGTCGGGAGGCTGCAGCTGCTCGGTGGGTCAGAGCTGAAAAATGCAGCTACCTCCGAGCGATGGTCGCTCACAGCTGCTTCAGACCATCAAAACGGCTGGATCTCATCTGTTAAACTCTCCCCCCTGTCCGTTAGTGTTCGGATCGCCTTTCAACAAGTCACAAGTCTGAAGAGCTGCAGCAAAAACAAACAGAATCACCTCCGTCTGCGGCACAAAAACTCTCAAATTCCAGCGAAAACGATCCTGCTTTTCGTTCAAACAGTTTGCTTTGTGTGATGGCGTTTTTCTGCCCAAACGTAATCTGAAAGTTGAGATCCGAATGTAAAGATGTGACACAAACACTCAAAACAATCATCCATTTATCTGTACATCTATTGTACAGCTCTCAACCCACCACAATAAATAAAAACCAGCGGTACGCTCATGTCCTCCGTCTCTGAAGGGTCCGATAGTGAATGTTTGTAGTTTGAAATGAGTGTTTTCTCTGGACTGTAGCTGAACAGGGAATGGAAGTAAACCTTAATGTTTTCAGAGCAAGATATTCAATGGAACCGTACTGGTTAAAAACACAAGAAAGTTAACAAAACAAGCGCTAAATTAGCCACGGCCTTTAGCTGCACGAACATGTTAGGTGTTTCGAATCGAATGAAATTAGGTTGAGAGAAAGTTTTTTTTTTTTACGAGGGATGAAGTCTTAAAGCTTCTTTGCTGATTAAGATTCAGAAGAATATACAGGTATTTATGATAATTCACTGTCCGAGGAGGTGCATTGACTGATCCAGGTGAGTGGAGGGTGATGTTATTCAGTGGTGGAGCCAGGGGGTGGCCAATGGTGCCCTTGGCCACCATAGATTAATACTTGCCCACCCCAATCATTTGAGGAAACTTCATTTTTAAGTAAAATAAACGCTAGAGCCTGTAGTTTCCTCGAATGATAGGGTGGCCAGTTTACATTTATTTATGTATATATAGATATATAAAAATAAATATGGTGTCGGCCATTTTGAATTTTATTGTGGCAACCCTATCTTCTATAGGGACCTTCGGCTACATCCTCACTTAGAACCTTGGATGAGTAGGTTGTATAGACAGAAGTAAAAGTTAATGGGACCACAAAAATGACGGCACTTTGCCATCGTCTCCATTCTCATCGTCTCCACACTGCACCATTTAAGGGACTGCCTACTGCCAGTACCTCCACCGCTCAGCCCAGTTTACGGGACCACCTTGTTCATGGTTTCAAGCGAACTGTCCCAAAAGACGATTCTGACGTAAGCAGACAGCAGCCGTTGATTGGCCACTGAACGACCTCCGAACTACATCTGAACCACCACTTCCTCATCGTGTGCCACAAGAAATGAAAGCATTTATCGCGATATTGGAGACGATGGCTACACTCAGACTTATAAGCAGTGCCGGGATAAGCTAAAGAAGTCCTGTAATAGGGCGATTAAGGACCACAATGGGCGGAGTGGCTTGAACACAACGACCAGTTACAATACCGTCCACAGAGCAGGGAAACAAGTCACCGTGACAAATCACCTCCACCTGAGAAGAACGGATAAGACGAGAACCGAGTGGAGCCGCACTCATCAATGGCAAAGAGACTATCTATAAAGATAGAACCAGCTCTGTACTGACCCGGGTCAGCCTGAGTCGAGACAGGGCAAAAAAAAACGAGCCCACATATGACGCACATTTCTGACAAGTCGGGTTCGGATTTATGGAGTTTGAGGGGTAAGAAAAAATTGGTTAATCTGTCCTGGCATTAATCTGATGAGAAATGTTCTTCAAATCCGACTCCCATCTCTGCGTGGAGCTTGTGGACCACGAGTTAGTTTCTCCTCATCATCCTAATTAGGATTCGTTGTCCGTGACACCGACCCGAGCCAGATGTTAAATCAGCGCAGTAGAATAATCTGGAGTCTGTTCGTCATTTTGACACATCTGAACACGAGAAGACGTCCCGTGATGTTGTGTAATTCACAACGGAGTCAAAAAGCAGAACCCAAAAACAAGCTGGGTCTGAGCGGCGTCTGGGCACCAATTCCCACGATGGAAAACAAGAATAAAATCTAATCAAATTAATGGCACAGAATTTGTTTTTATTGATGCATCTGTATTATTCTGATCAATCCCAAATGTTTTCCCACATTTTAAAATTAAGATAAAACAAAAACAACAACAAGACGCAGCTCGTCTGCTCAGGATGACAACAAACAGCCACAAGAGGAAAAGTTTAGAGGAAAAACCAGGAAGTGTTTGATGAACCGAACAATTCAAGAGTCAAATCAAACAGGAGAGCTAACGTTAGCCTCACTTCAGCTAACTCCTTCCTGTGAAAACATCAGCAGAAACAAAACGCCAGTTCATCCACAGCTTCATAGCCGAACGTGCAGAAAAAGACCCTCAAGGAAAGCTAAAGGCCACCAGGCGAAGAGGTGCTGGAACACACCAAGCGCCTCTGTCAAAACCAAAACAACCAAATCTAAATTTACCTTCAACCATCAGTCAAAACATTTCACAGGCTGCAGCTTCAGAAACCACCAAATCATCTGAGAAACCCCAACAGCTTCACTGCTTCAGTCTGGACCGAACCCTGCAGATGTGGCCCGGTTCAGCATATTTCATCCACGTTCTGATCCAAATAATTATCGTGCCAACATCTGGCTGACTGCTGTGAACTGCTGCGTTGGATCACCGAGCAGACGGTTCTCATGCGAGAGTCCAAACAGAACTGCTGTTCCAGCCGGTCCGCAGTAAGTTTTGTCTTTACCCAAAAAAAAACAAAAAAAAAAAAAAAAACAGCAGCAGACGTGACATCGTCCTGTCAGGGACTGCCATCTTTCATAAGCTGAAGTAAGGAACACTGAGCGGACCGGGTGCCGCAGAACTGAGGCGTCGTTTCTGCTAAAAGTGACGTCATCAAGCAGAACAACAGCTGAAGTTTTCAGTGGTTCCCAACCCTGGCCCTTGAGGAACACCATCCTACACGTTTTACTTGTTTCCCTGCTTTGACACACCTGATCGGAATGAATGGGTGACTAACAGGTGTCTGCAGAACTTGAGGAAGTAATTAAATCACTGAATCAGGTGTGTTGGAGCAGAGAAACAACTAAAACATGCAGGATAGTGTTTCTCGAGGACCACGGTTGGGAACCACTGTACCAGACAGACAAACATAAACAGGTTCAGGTTGGAAGAGTTCAAAATAAGAATCTGGGTCTGTTAAAAAAATATATATCTATCCCTCAGCTCCTTCAAGCTAGCCTTTTGTTCATTTTATCCTTAGCCAGCTCTTCAGCTTCTGTTTAATGTTTCACATCTTTAACGTTTTTATTTTTCCATCTTTTAGCTAGCTAGTTCAGCTAATTTTAGCTTCCAGCCAGCATGCGGCTACTTTTAGCTTCCAGAAGAGTGTTTGGCTTCTTTTAGCTTCCAGCCAGCGTTCAGCTTCTTTGAAGCTTCCAGCCAGCGTTCAGCTTCTTTGAAGCTTCTAGTCAGCGTTCGGCTTCTTTTAGCTTCCAGCCAACGTCCGGCTTCTTTTAGCTTCCAGCCAACGTCCGGCTTCTTTTAGGTTCTAGACAGCGTTCGGCTTCTTTTAGGTTCTAGACAGCGTTCGGCTTCTTTTAGGTTCTAGACAGCGTTCGGCTTTTTAGCTTCCAGCCAACGTCCGGCTTCTTTTAGCTTCCAGCCAACG